GACTGACAGTTTATTTTAAACATTGTCACAGCTCACAGGATAGGTACCTGTCAGCCAATAATACAGATGTTTATTTCTATTCAACTCTCTGGTTGATCTGGTGTCTTGCCTCTGCTGCATTCACTGAACACGGGAAATTACAATCCTGCCGTCCTCTCTAGTGTCATGATGAGGTTCAGGTAAAGCACGGTGAATGTATTATATGATTGACTCAATAAAATAATACATGACTTTGAGAGTAGGCAATCTAGGCATATTAACTAAATTAATTTAACATACTTATCACGGCGACGGTGTACTGAGATTATTATTTATTTTTAAATTATTATTAAACAAATGTAATGCTACAACTGTGCACTTTTTTTTCAGATTCTGTTAAATTAATGCTAATTTGTTGTGTTTATATGCACTTTTTGACCTACCTTTGTTAGATGAACAATGAATAAAAATTGCATGTTTTTCATCGCAGTAATATGTATTGGTTTAAAATGTGTCACTACCCGCTTTTTACAGGCCGCTGAATGTCTGGCCCAGCTGAATTTTGTAGTTATAAAATCTGGCCCAACTGAATGTGTAGTTGAATAGCCCTGCTATAGGGGGACCTGCAGCACCCCCTAGCACCCGCTTGACGCCGCCTATTGACCTTCCATCCTTCAAATGTATATTACACACCTCTGTCCTACAGCGCCCTCATAGGTCTCTAAGGTTTCTAAGTGTAACTTCCGCCGGTCATGCTGATGTCATAAAAATTATCTTTTGAAATGTTTTTGTCATAATAATATTTCCTCCTGGTCTCTGGCGCTGTCATGCCTCTGCGCCCACCAGGGGGAGCGCGCCCCATTTTGAGAAACACTGGTTTAGCGTGTAAGCATGCTAACACTTGGCCAATCACAAAGTAGAGCTGGAGATTGCGGTAATGGAATATGTTGTGGGTCATGGTATTGTGTAACCAACAGTGCAATGCTAACATTGCTAGCATTCCAGCCACACCGCTAGCATGTGATCAAAAGCATTGTATATATATTTCCTTTAAAACATTTAACTGCAAAGGCCATATGTTATGTTTTTTTTGTGGTTAAGCTTTTGCCAAATGGTACTTGAACAAAGTGGTACTTCAACCTTTAAAATGTTCTTTAAACGAGAGCTGCCAACACATCCCTCAAATAGTTTGTGTGCCGGCTTAACATAAAATGTGTGTGAATATGTATAACATTTTTGAAGAAGTAATCAGGGAGAACAGCTTCGGATTAGGCAATGCGAATATTTTAAAAATAAATTTGCCTTAAAGTGGACCTATCATGCTATATTTGAAACATATATTGTATAGGGCCATACCTATACAAAACATGTCTGTGAAGTTTTTTTTTCCAAATACCAAACAGTTCACCCATTGTATAGCTATCCCTCATACTGCTCAAACCCCTCTTTTGAATCTGTATCCGCTCGTTGTACACCCGTTTTTAAAAGATGTGGGTACGGAGGAAAAGAGACAGGGTTTTATTTTCTGACGCTGCGTGAGTTCCCCGACGCACCGGGGACACATATGTATAAAATACATCACAAAGTGCATTTTGCATGATAGGTTCCCTTTAAAATAGTTCTCCAACTAATCTGAGCAGATCTACAAACCACCTCTGAAGTTTAGTTTCTCATCATCAATATTTTTTATGTCAATCAAGAAGTTAATAACAAGCAAAATGTGCCAAAGACCTGTAACAGGCTTTCTGCAGCCCCCTTTTTGGATCGTATTAGCTAAAGTATCCCTGGCTTAAATCCAAAGTATAAACAACTTTCTTGCTCTGATCCAAAGTCACAATGTTGAAAGTATTTCACAGAATGCTTCTGTGCAAAATGTCATCACTGTATATTAGGATGACTTAGGCGTCCATTAACAAAATGAGCTGGTCCGTGGTTCATATTTAGCAGTCATGTTTCACCACTCATGTCTACACTGCAGTTCATTTTATAGTATAGCTGGTGGTTTGTCATGATTTGGTGTGTCATAATAAAGTGAGTGTGATAGAAAAAGGGGGTAGGTGCAAGGTTTTACTTATTTTAAGCATTTTATACCACGTCTGGCATTACAAATAGTAATATGTTTTTCTGATTTCAATTTTTGATTAAAAAAAGTGATAAAGTGCAGTGAAGCCAGTCTTACTTTTTGAAGATCTCCAAACACAAAACAACATTGTTATTTACTGAGGTGAAGTAAACCCATAACACAGGAGATTTACAGTACTTTTATTAACACTTTAAATTCCCCCCATCAACTCATTCATGTGTGTTTCTTATTTTGACTTCACTTGGATGTTTGAGCTCCACTGTTCAGAATGATGTATGAGCAGAGTTGCACGATTCTCTACACAAAACCAGACATGCATCCTTTTTCTCAAACAAGTTTTAAATCTCTGCAAATGGATATGCAGCGATATCATATAGAGATCAAGGAAAAGCACTCACTATAAGGTAGGACAAACACATTTAGCCATCTTTAAAACTCCCATATGTTGCAAAATGATCTGCAGTAATATAACAAATATATAGTTTGTAGTAAATAGAAACGAACAAAAACTATAGTCGTATCCAATTGTTGTTTCTTTCAGGACTTGGATTTAACAATATGATATTGCTTTAAATGTTTGAAATCAATGAAAACATCTGTATTCTGTGCAAACAATCTGACAGGCAACAATGTTAAACACCTAATCAGTCCCATTGGTCTGCTCTCAATGATCCAGAATAGAAGTCTTCAGAGTTAGAATTTATAACCCAAGATGAGTCCCTTTGGGTTTCTCTTCACGCCGGACACAGTTCCTTTACTGGCCATTATAATGAGGCTTTAAGTATAGCGTGGCGACTGTAAATCTGCCTTGCCGGGAATGCACTGCCCCTGGTCTGACTGGGCTTCACCTCACTAAATCTCACATCCAGGCCCAGAGAATAATGTATTGTCTTCTCCTGAGCACACTCGCCAAAACAGTGTGAAGTCAGCAAATGATTGCAAGTCATTGTGATTGTCAGCTAATTGTTGATGGGAAGAGAATTAGGCCCAGATATCTATATCGACATCTGTGCTCAGATATGTCTGGGTTGTTGTATTGAGGATGCTGTGACAACAGGATCCTTTCTCTGGCATGTGACTATACTGGGCTCAAGATCCTCTGATATGATTTTTAACAATTTATTGGAGGATACACAGGTCTGCATGTTTTTAATTGAGTTGTGTGTCTTTACTGTAGGTAAATACTGAATCCAAACATACTCATATTATTGGGTGTGTGGGGGCAAAATATCTTTGACAAATACATATGAGTCATACTTAATGCAATGAGTGTATATTAGCCTATTACTCCCCCAACATTCAGGCAGGCACGTCTTAACCGAATCCAAGCAAAAGTATTCTATATCAACAGAAATCCTCAACTTTCCCTGTCTATTTGCAAAACATAGCTTATAACAGATTCAGTGGCATTTTAGGCATATATTATCTTCTATCTAAAACAGCTCCTGAGGTGGTGCACTCACATTAGCCAAACACAGACCGGGAGCAGGACCTGAGGAATCGCTGGAGAGAGCAGCGCGCCAGGGCAGGCTGTGCGCTTTGGCAGAGCGTAAATACCCGAGAGAGGGAACTCAGAAGAATTTCATGGGACGGATTGCTGTAAAGTAACCACACCACGGAGCAACAGATATCGCTATTCGGTCAATTATCTCTTTCTCGTGCATCAGCACAGTCCTGGCTAAGAGTCCAAATCGAGAGCGTGTATCATTCCGGAATGCCCGAGAGGAAGAGCGCGGAACACCGCAGCTTTGAGGCTTCAACACCGAGAGCTCCCGCGGAGCAGATGGTGCCGAAAAAATGACTCGTGTTCTCTCCATCTTCGCGTACTTCTTCTCTTTGATCCACTGTAAGTGTGTCTTTCTTTACATTCTGTGACCCAAACTACTTAGAACAGTTTTGCTTGTATCTGTTTGTCAGCTCCACATTTCTTTTTGGGGAAAGTGCTTCTGTTGGGAGAAGTGATTGTGTTTCGTGAAGTGTCCCGAAGTCGAATTGCAGCTCTTTATTTGGATTTAATCTACGTTTTCAGTACAGTTGCTAAGTTGTGTAGTTTACACGATAACAGAGGCCAAACATTTCTTACTTTATTGTTCAACCTACAAATAAAATGTGAGATCTTAAAAATAGTATTTTATCTTAATCAAAACACATGCAATGATAGTATTTTTTTTTAGGGGTATTTTGATTATCAGTCATGCCATAAAATGTGGCCTGTACTCATCAAACCAACAGCAAGTGCAGGGTCACATCCACTTTACCTCAACAATATATGACAATTGTACACATAGTAAAAGCTTCCTAAGCATGTCACATTATTATTTTTTATTTAACCAGTTAAAAGCATTGAGATAAAATCTCATTTTCAATGCTGACCTGGCCAAGAAGGCAGCAACGTTACACATAACACATAACACAACAGGCTTACATTTATTTTCTTGACTTCTTCAACTTCACATGACCAAAGTGGACATTTCCTTGGTAAAAAACACATTTACTTCACAATTTATCTCACAGGATTTATATTTTCAATTGCAATAAAAAGAGTAACCCATACTGATAATCCCACTTACTGAGACAAGTTTTTTGTCAGCTGGTTTAACGTTTAAGTGGTGAATCCTCTTGTCTTTCAAAGAAACAATGCCACTACATCTACTTTTCTTCCCTGTAAACGAGAGGATGTGATATTGTCATAAGTCACCAATACAAAGTGGAGGAAATTAGCATTTATACTTTACCTGACTCAACCTATGCCCAATGTGTTGCTTCATTCATACACTTCATTATGCTCTCAAACGTAATACACGTTTGAAAAATAATGTTTTTCAGTGTGCTCTGCAGAGTGACCTTATCAACTTCACAACAGCTGAATGTACCATTAACACGCCTGACCTCACTCTCGATCAACATAATGTCAACAGAACACTTATAAGGCGCTACACATTATACACATTTAACCTAAACACACACACACACACACACACACACACACACACACACACACACACACACACACACACACACACACACACACACACACCAGTGGCAGTCCACAGCAGGTAATCACAAGTTTGGGTGGTTTGATAGCGCCCTGTACCTCTGGGGAAGGCAGAGCTTGTTTCTGTCAGGTCTCCGAGGGCTTTGACAACACACCATCTGTGGAGTGCTGTGGAGATCCCACTGTATTGGATGGGATCTGAGCCAAGTGACTGACAAAGGCACAGTCATGGCAGCCTGTGCTGACCCATGCGGCCAGACTGACAGCATGCCGCCACGCCCTGCAAAGCCCCGGGAGTCTGTGTGCCGATAATGGCACACACAGTTTGATACTGCACAACAGGAGAGGCACTGGAAGTCTAACAATGTTCCTAATTGTACGCTGCAGCATCGCATAGCTTGAAAAACAGGCATATGTGCTGATTCTCTGGGGTTGAGCAGCCATGAATATCACTCTGCTGAGTATTGACAACAGTAGCAGTGGGCCCATCAGTATCAGTCCCACCTCATTGGAGGGCTTCCCACAAGAAAGCCGACTCAGCTATACTTCAGACCATGTGGGGGCATTAATAATCTGCTGCATGCAAGGAAAATGGAAGAGCTACTGCTACATGTTTTCATTTGGCTCCAAATGAGAAGCACTGATCGTGAGTTTCAATCAGGCTTGTCTTCAACCCTGATGTGGGCTTCATTTATCAGGGAAGGAGGTAGAAGGAGTCGAAGTGTGGTTACTCTTAGCCTATTCTCACTTGAGAGATGCATCCAGTGGTTTGGCTTTATGAAGAAGCAACATTATTCAAATGCTTCGAAAAAGATCTGCACTTTTTGGGGAAATTACTTTAGGGCCTTCATTATAGTATAATTTCCACAACACAGCCATCCCTGGCTTCCTTAATTGGCAGCGGCTGTTTCCCTTAAGAGTTTATGTGCAGTTTGTATGAGGCAGTCAGACACACTCAAAAGATAGAGGAGGAACATTTTTTTGTTGAACAGATTTATTCATTATTGTGTTTCTGTGTATGAGCACAAAGGGAGGTATATAATATTGATTTAAGTATCATAATTCGATAACTTGGTGCCAAAGCGGGAAGTACTAAAATTGTTAATTTTTTTTAGGTCGTTGTAAACAATTGTTTTCTCATATCTGAATGGCTAGAACGTTTAACAGCAGTAGTCTTGTTTGTTCCATAGTGGGAAATCAATTCCATTGTGATTTTCAGATGGTTTGTTTCATTAAGTGGCTGCAAACAACTTTGTAGTTTAGTAGTTTTATAGGTGGATCTGTTTGAAAACAAGAACGAACCATACATTTTCAGAGCATAAAAGTCTCTCTCCATGGATACCTAGGTCCAATTTCTCCAAGGTCCAACTGGTTTGGCTTGATACTGATGTTTGGGATGTGTAAACATCTGCATAAACATAATCATTTGAAAACATGTTGTCACCAGGTACCAGCAGTGCTGACTCAGAGGAGCGTCTCATGAACTGGTTGCTGGGAAAGGATCGCTACAATCTGCTCATCCGCCCGGCGGTCAACAGGAGCGAGAGAGTCCCAGTGAAGCTGCAGGTGTCTCTGGCTCAGCTCATCAGTGTGGTAAGGCCCCAAATACTTCTACCCATCATGTGTGTGCATCTGTGTGTGTGAGGGAGACAAGATGACAAAGAGAGAGGCAGAAAAAGAATGACAGAGTGAAAGAAAGAGAGGATGCCACAAAGCTTTGAGAGAGAGCAGTTCATTACAGACCAGCCTTTGCAGAGAGGCTGTGAGTGGATGGATGAAGTGGAGGGTGGATGTGGTCAGCTGTGATCTCTGCCTCTGTCATGTCCAGATTGAAACTTCAGCACATTGGATTAAAAGCGGCCATAAAGCTGTTTTAGCCACAGTGATAGAGGCTCTCCTCTGATTTACAGTGGAGGCTCCTCCCGGTTGCAGACCAAGGCAGAAAGGATCATTCACAGCCTCACTTTATGAGTTTGCATTGTACCCATGGAGTAATTGCCATTTGGTATGACTTCATTGGATGTGTATGTCATGGCTGTGTGATGGCAATGCCACCGACATGCATGTTAGGAAGCAATCTAAGATGAGTGAAGGTTTTAAATTCAGTTGTTTTTGAAGCTGTTTAGAAGCTGACAGTGTGCAATCAAGACAGTAATTCTTTCTGTGTACAAAAAAAAGGTTGGGGACATCAGCAGAGACTTCCTCCTTCCCTTACTTTTTAAAAATATTATTTGACTTCTTTGCTCGCCTCTATCTAGTTTAGTCTCCATAATCATGGTTTTACGGTGATACACCTGGTAGGTATTGTGCAAACGAGCTATTGTTGCTGGTTATTGTAGGTAAAGTGCTACTTAAGTTCGGCATCACATACAACATGTATGTGATGTTATGCTATGTGGCTTTTTATTACTCCTTCACTAAAATATTTGGTTATAGACTTCTGTATTTATTTTTGATCTAGACATATTTTTCATATTTTAAAATAAGCTATTCCACAATTTCACTGCCCTGTGAGCTGCAGCAGTAGCCTCTATGGTAAAATACACCTTGTTGGGATCACTTCTAGAGTATTCTGAACAATTCATGGCTTAGATGAGTGTTTAGGGTCAGCTAAAATGCAGTTATATTTCAATTTGAAATGGTAACTGTAACTGTTCATGAAAACCTTTCCTTAACTTCTACCTCATTTGTCAATTTCCAGAATGAGAGAGAGCAGATCATGACCACAAATGTCTGGCTCACTCAGGTAAGTGTGATAAACCTCAGAGTCATACTCTCAGTAATACCACTCAGTGTCTTGATACATGTCCTTCCCCCTGAACTTGAATTAAACCATATCCACTTTCCTCTCTGTGTGGAACAAACTGCTTCTATAATTGTGCTCCAAACACATTTCACTGATAATGAAGCATGTAATTAGGAAAAGAGCTGGTCTTAAATACTTGAACTGAATTTGGACTTGACGGCAGGCCTCTCTTTCTCTCCAGCACTGGGTGGATTACAGGTTATCATGGGACCCTGCGAAGTATGAAGGTATCGACAAGCTGCGCATTCCCTCCAGACATATCTGGCTACCAGACATTGTCCTGTACAACAAGTAAGAACCACTGAAATCTCATATTGTTATGTTACAGAAAGATGGTACACTTCTATACAGTAATATGAAATCTATATTTAAGGATAGAGATGGGAAACTTTTTCTGATAGCTAGATATTTAAAAATTAAGATGGGTTCTGATCACCATTATTATCTTTCCAAACTGAATCTCTGAATCTACAGAGTTTATATATGATTGAAAGTTTTAGTCTTTCCTCTGTGGATTTTGGTTTTGATATTGATTTTCCTGTCCTTGGCTGTAGGAAATAAGCAATAAAACTGTTCAGTATGAGTAGCTCTCCTCTTATCTGCACTTCGCTGTGATTGCAGGGTTGATTACACAGGCCTTGCAGATTGATTAAAAAGCTCTTATAAGTTTTTCCTCTTTCTTCTTCCTCTCATAGCGCTGATGGTACCTATGAGGTAACAGTTTTCACGAATGCCATTGTACTCTTCAATGGCAGCATCAACTGGCTCCCCCCGGCCATCTACAAAAGTGCCTGTAAGATCGAGGTCAAGCATTTTCCCTTCGACCTGCAGAACTGCACCCTCAAGTTCCGCTCTTGGACGTATGATCACACCGAGATCGACCTGATCCTGAAGTCTGAGGTGGCTAGTATGGATGATTTTACGCCCAGTGGGGAGTGGGATATCCTGGCGCTGCCGGGCAGACGGACTGTCAACCCTCTGGATCCCACATATGTGGACCTCACATATGACTTCATTATTAAGAGGAAGCCCCTTTTCTACACCATAAACCTCATAATTCCTTGCATTTTGATCACCTCTCTGGCCATTCTGGTCTTCTACTTACCCTCAGACTGCGGGGAGAAGATGACCCTCTGCATCTCCGTGCTCTTGGCTCTCACTGTGTTCTTGCTTTTGATCTCAAAGATAGTTCCTCCCACCTCATTGGATGTGCCCCTGATCGGAAAGTACCTGATGTTCACCATGGTGCTCGTGACTTTCTCCATCATCACCAGTGTGTGCGTGCTCAACGTCCACCATCGCTCCCCAAGCACCCACACCATGCCTTCCTGGGTCAAGCTGATATTCCTCGTCAAACTGCCTGCCTTACTCTTCATGAGACGCCCTCAAAATAACTCTGCACGCCAGAGACTTCGCCAGCAGCGGTGTCTACGGGGAAGGACATCCATTTTGGGTATGGGTTACCCAGTCCCAGCCAAAACAGGTATCACGATGTCGAATTCTGACTCTGTCTTCTCTACACCAGGACACAAAACTGTAGTTCCTCCGCTGGGCTACAGCCACTCCAACAGGAAGGGGGACACGCGACCAAATGATTACCTTCCCAGTAGTTTCACTTCTACCCAGGACTCCCTGCCGAGAAGCAACTCAGAATGGGCTGCTAATGTCCAGGAGGCGGTGAACGGGGTGCGCTTTGTGGCTGAGCACATGATGGGAGATGATGATGATCAGAGTGTATGTATACACATTTCAACTTTTCATTGCATGTATACAATGCTGGTATGAAGTTTTTTTGTAATGTTTGTGCCACTTAATAATCTAATATATCAAATGTACAACTTTAGCAAGATGAACATTTTAAATATTAGGTTTTTTAAGAATATTGCGCACAAATGTCAAGCTATTACATCCCTAGTTCTTTAAAAACATATCCCGCTATGAAGCTATGTTCTGTCACTATTTCAGCCTCAGTCAAAAATCTAAATGCTGTAATGGATAATTGCTGCAATCTGACACCATCGTCAATACACTCTTGTTCCCAATAAACTGGATCAAAGGTGTTGGTATAACACTGTGTACATTCTGTGACACCGGTAATAACTAATAACGTTAAGTACTGGATGTGACCTAGCAAATTAAAGGCAGACTTTTGGTCATCAAGCCCTTCCTCTGAAAAATCAATAAAAGAAGGAGGGAACCAGGAATGAGAAATTACTTGATTTTAAAACTACCAAGGACAGCAGCAAAAATGGGATGAATAGGTCAATAGCTTTTTTTAGTGTTGGCAAGCAATAAGGAAAATGTCTTTTCAAAAATATAATTAAAATATTTTTCGCATTCAGCATCCTAAGACCAAGCTAACCTATACTAAGCAATATTATTATTTTTATGAATGGATATAATGCATTTGAAAACGTTATACTATTACTGAAGACTATTTTTTCCATTTCAGTCCAATTGAAGGTGTTCCTTGCAGATAATAATCCAGCAAAGTGACAAGATGTACAGTATAAGATATGTAATAAGGGTTTTACAGATTGTTTGGTTGAAAGAACTTTGATTCAGAAACAGATTCTCTCTCACTCATTCATTCACATTAATAGGCATTCCTTGCAGCGTCCAGCTATGAAACATTCAATCACGATTATTTGGTCAAATCTCCACTCTGTATTACTGCTGGTTTATTATTTTAAATGTCTATGTGAACTTTATTGTGACCAAAGCCTGCACGCTGCCTGATTTTCATTACATTTCTGTATATTTGCAGGTGATAGATGACTGGAAGTATGTGGCTATGGTGGTGGATCGTATGTTCCTGTGGATCTTTGTGATAGTGTGTGTGACGGGCACCCTGGGCTTATTTCTGCAGCCTGTCTTCCAGACTCAGATCGTCCCCAACCAACAGCCCAGCTCAGAGGCTCCACGCATATGATGAACCATGAAGAACACGGGGCGAGTTTTGATCATTTTATCTTTTTCAGCAATCAAGAAATTAGGTTAGGGTAAGTAATTTGTTTGTGTTTAGTTAAAGCCTATAACCCTACGGTGAGATGCAAACCCATTGTGTACATCAGTGAAGAGACATGATCTTTTTTGTCCCCGGATAATCAAAACCACATGGTCGACAGCAATAAAACCCTCTACAGCACACATTATATGGTGGAAATTGTACTTCAGGAAAGGGACCTCAAGTGACATTAGAGGTCATTTCCTTTAATGTCTAAGGACAACTGCAGGCCTGGATTGAAGGAAGCTTTCACCCCACCGAAGTATGCTGAACAGTTACAGAAATGTCTGAGAAGTGACTTTCAGCAAGATGTTGGGGCAACTGTGACTCAGAAGGACATTAGTTCATTACCCCGCCGCTGCAGTCAACACATCGATATGTCCTCCGCCAAGATACTTAACCCCAAATTGCTACAGATGGCATGGCCAACCGTGTGTGAGTGAGTACGGATGTTAGTTTCCCTAAGCAGGTGGCACCTTCAGAGGTGTTTTTATATGTACAAAAGTGGTGGGGCACGAACAACTTAGATGTGTATATATAAGCTTCTGGTGCTTTTTTAAACACGTAAACAAATAGCTGTAGGCTATCCATGGTTCCGATAGAGAGAAAAGGAAAACACAGATACTCACCACCGAGGTCACAATATCAGTTGATCCAGCAGAGCAATAGCCTATAGGCAAAACACAGAAGATCAACAAAAGATATGACATAAAATGAACTTACCAAAGCTGAAGTAGATGGTCAACTTCATTCACTTTCTTTCCGTTGTACTGATTGTAATCGCTATACGCTCTCTCTCGTCTCCTCTTCACTACAGGGTGAAAACTACACTTTTCGCGGCACACGTACTTACAGCCAATCAGCTCTCTGAATTATGAGATGACGTTTGGTAGGTATGCCAGCACTATGCCCCACTGGTGATTATTTTTTTGCCGCACACATTGAATAGAAAAATACTCTGAGCATGCGCAGTGTAGTTTTTACAGCACCCATTCATTTAGATAGCAGAGAGAGGGGCTTGCCCCACATCGCTCAACACGGCTCAATAGGCACACTGTGGACACTAATTGGAAGAACACAGACTAAAACAGCAATGTACAGATGAATCACCTGTGCCCCACCTGCTCCTAATGACGAGTCGCCACTGCCTGTTTCTTAACAATTAAATACAAATATTCACTGTTTACATAAACTGCACGAAACAACATTATTAGAATGCAAAGGGTAAAACAGAGATGGAGTACTCGAGTGCCGATTTTCGGGACTTTAGACTCGACTCGGACTCGCGCACTGATTGACGCGGACTCGAACTCGGACTCGTGAATTTTCGCGCACGATGACTGACTCGGACTCGTGAATTATCGCGCACGATGACTGACTCGTGAATTTTTCACCCACGATGACTCGGACTCGACTTGTACATTGATGCTCCGACTTGGACTCGGATTCGAGCAAGTTTTCTCTCGAGTCAGATGTACTCTGTCCTGGCATGTGCACCTGCGAGGCGAGTTCACGAACTGGCGCACCCCTGCTATTCCAGTCTAGAGATGTCCAGAGACACACCCCGTATCGTGCTGTATTCTTTCACAGATTCTGCTTAGACATTGGGAAAGAGCAGCGCAAAATGCTCGTTACGTGGAAACAATATTGAAGAGAAGGCTCCGTAACACATTACTCTAAGGATCGAGTTCAGACATATAGGCTGTCTTGAATACTATCATCAGAGTAACGTGATCTAATCAATAAATAAAGATTCAGCCGATAACACGAAAGCACATGGCTACTTAACCTGCAGAATGTCGTCATTTTGCATGGTAAGTAGCCATGTGCTTTCTGGGGCTTAATCTCTATTGATATAATGTAAACATTCACTATAGTAATTGTGGCATCCCCGGCTGAATGATGGTCAGACTCTCCAACTGATGGTATCTGTTTATTGCATACCCTTGCTTGTATACAATCATTACCAACGTAAGAGCTTGTGCCCTTATCAGCCAGGTGCTAAAAACCCAATGTAACTATTTAGTATATGTTAATGTATTGTCATCTATCTGTCATTATACATGTGTGTTTACACTGCTCTGTTGTCCATTGACTTCCGGTAAAAGTTCCTTCAAAATAAGAGTCCCGATCTTATTACTATGAAAATAAAAGTGCAAATCGAAAGCTTTACCATAGGAAAATATTGGCATACAAATATAATCACTTCTCTAAAAGGTAACACATTTTAAATATAGTTAGACATATCAAAGGTCATTTACAATAATAATAATAATTATAATAATAATATTAATATTAGTAATAACCTTTATATTTGTATAGCACCTATTACAAGAATTGTAGCCAAACTCGCTTCACAGCAGTTAGACACTAAGTATAAAATGACAGGATAAAAGCAATGTAGAGGAGCTACAGCTACATTTCAACAAATATATCCACTAAGATTAATACATAAAGACTTGTGACTCAGACTTGGACTCTTCTTGGATGACTTGGACTCGGACTCGAACACAGGTAACGATGACTCAGACTCGGACTCGACTCGGACACTCCTTGGGTGACTCGGACTTGGACTCGACTCCGACTGGTGACTCGGACTTGGGTTGCGTTCCAATAGTCCATTTAGCTTAGGAACCTTCCTAACCAAGTGAAATGACCCGGAAGTACGTCAGTAGCAGCCATGTTAAGTGCCGTTCCAATTCTCCAAATGAAAGGAAAGGAGGTTTCAAACTTCCTTTATAACCTCCTTTAGCTTAGGAACCACTGGACCTCCCTTACCGAAAGGAGAGGAGAAAATTCTGCCCCACAATGCCTTGCAGCCGCAGCATTTGCCGTCACACAACAGTCGGCCGTTCACGGAAACAAACCCTAGACGACATATGAGTAGATCTTGAGACGTGGCACGAGACTACGACAACAAAATACGAAATATCTTGCACCTGTTGTCTCTCTTGTATAAGAAGTACTGGTTTCAACATTAACTTTATTTTTTCCTTTCACCATTTAAATACCGAGCAGTGGAGGAGGGAGACCAGGTGTAATTATGTTTACCTAGGGGTTATGCATACTAACCATACTTTATAGAATTTTATTTATGTTTACATAAATAATATTTGCAATCAGGAATTGTAGATAGTGACACAAATAGTGGTAAGTTTGTAGAAAATTTTCAACTTGTTTGAGGTGTGTCGAGTCACTTTACAACTGAAATAAACTAGTAAAGTCATTTTTGATTGCAAGTATCAAAGAGAAACTAATATTATGAACTTACTTGCAAGTTTTGTTTCGTGAAACCGTTCAATGGTTGTATTGCAAAATTTTAAGAATATTCGTGGCGTTGAAAGTACTATAGCTAAAGAGCCAG